ATTCAGCGTCTTTGTTGGGGGTGGCCTGGTTTTCTAGTCTTGGTTTCAAGTGACGTCGGCACCGTTCTGTGTTTCGGCGTTGTAGCCTACTGTCACCTCAGAGCCTTCAGCCAGCAGTCTGGTGGCCCCAGGCTGCCCTTAGGACCAGACTCCCCGAGCCGCCTCGGTTTTCAGGAAGCTGGTCCAGATGTGCAGGAGCTAGGAGGCAAAATGGGCCGGGAGGCGAGGGAACGGCGTGCATCTGCAGAAAGGTCATAGGAATGGTGGTACCACTTTAAATCAAGTTCACCTGGAAAAAAGGATCAAAAGGTCCAGTTCTCATGGATTCTGAAAATCAAAGTTGGGTCCCTTCTTCCTGGAGGAAAATACCACCTAGAGCTGCGGGGGTGTGGGAGAGCTTAATTTCTTTGCCAGTCCGTCCCCGGACGGTGAAGTCCGTCCCTGTGTGCTGGGGGTCCGTGCCCTTCGTACAGACAGCCTGGAGCGAGAGGCAGGGGCTGAGAGTAAAGGCAGCTGCAGAAATGAAGTCATTCTGTTCGTTCGTTTTCTGGGAACAGGATTATGGGAATGACGAGATAGGTACGTGTTCCTGAAATAGCAACCGTCCCTTCCGAAATAGCAGCCGTGTTCAAGTGCCCGGACGTAATGAAGGAAGGGAACAGGTAATCTGTGTCACGGGGCTCCGGGAAACCTGGAGCAATGAATCACAAGGTATGGCTCGAGGATTTGAACTCTCTCCGTCTTTGAAGTGTCAAAAAATGGCGCTGGACAAACGATAAACAGGAATTGTAGCTCCTCTGCCTGAAAGGAAGGGAGGGCTGGCCCAGTTCTTCTCGGAGTTTCAGCAGTCCGGTGTCAGCAGCAAGGCTGTAGAAGACATTTTGAAAGAAAATAGTTAAAGAGAAAAGGCAGATGAAAGAGGATAAAACGTAATATACATCTACCAAAGGTTAATGTCAGTCTTCAGAAGATCCTAGGAAATATTTCTTTACCGAGGGGGCAGTCGGACACTGGAGCAGGCTGCCTGGAGAGGCATGGGTGCCCCGAGCCTGTCGGTGTTTGAGGCGGTTGGGCAATGCCCTGCATAAGATCTGCGAAGTCTTGGTCAGCCCTGAGGTGGTCAGGCGGTTGGACTGGGTGACGGTTGCAGGTCCCTTCCAGCTGAAACACTCCCTTCTGTTCTGTTCTGTTCTAATGGTGGCAATCTACGTGGAAAATGAAAATATTCTCCAGAAATGAATGCAGAAGCATTTCTAACAGAGACACGTAAGAAGTTTGTCATACCACTTGTCCAAACGTTAGCGAGATCTCATCTGAATTACGGTGTGCCATAATCCATACTCGAGAAATTTCACATCAGACTGTGGCTGTTGCCTTTGAGAAGGGCGTCTGTCTAATGAGAGGCATTTAAAAGACAATTAAAGTTGAGAGGGGAAATTATGATTATCTCTAATACCCTTAGTCACTGAGCACTCTGGAGGGATAAAGAACCATTAATCATCACAGGAACAAATAGTATAAAAAGACCATTAATTAATTTAGCCTGGAAATTAGAAGCGGTTTTAACCATTAAAGGACAACAAAATTTCAATAGAATTAGCCAAGGCAAAAGAAATTATCTTCAAAATATTGAGTAATCATTTTTTCACAGAAACGTATTGTGTGGCGAGATGGAAAACGGAGGGACTGGGCTCTCCAGACCAGCAGGTCCTTTCTTGTCCGATGGTGCGTCGGGAGCTTCTCCCGTAATGCGCCATGCGACTTGGGCAACTGGAAAATCGCATTTCTGACGGGAATTACAGCATTCCAAGGAACTTAGACCACAAGAGATAATTAGAGCTCTCTCTTACGGTCCTGTGATGCTGGGCAGATACATTTGTTTCTAACTGTGTTGAAGTAATTCCAGTGGAATAGCACCACAGACTTGTAAAATGCTAGAATCTGGTTTGGTCAGACAGAAATGAAATATTTAATATCAGTGTCTGGCAGCCTTTGAAAAAAATCTATAGAACTGCAGCTAAGGCAAATTGAAAGTCTCGTTTTGCCTGCGAAAAGAGTGTTTCATGAAAAAGAAAAATATTGCTTCGGCTGAACCATGGAAATATTTTTGACCTGATAATTCTGGATTTTCACAGCCGTAATGACTGAGAAATGATTTGGGGAATTGCCGTTTTCAGTTGCACGAATATCCTGTAGTGCTGAAGAGAACAGAACATCTTAGATTAAAGCTTAATGTTGTCATTATAAGGCTTGAGCGCTGCATCTCACCATTTGCACTGCTGAATATGACAAGTGCAGTCGTTAAATCGTACAGAAATGCGGTGTGTTCAGCAACAGGCCTCTGTTCAGCTACTTTTAAGACAGTAAATCATGCAAAAGGTGTAGCGTGCGCTGCGAGGTGAGCTTGGGCCTTTCCTTCAACGCCGCGTTCCCGGAGCTCCTCCGTTTTCACGTCTCCTGCCTTGCCCGTGCGCTGGGTGCTGCCCGTGGACTGGGTAGAACAAGAACTCCTGCGGAGTTCCTCTCCCCAGCCCTTTCTTTTCCAAAGGGTTCTGAAACGTTACAAGTTTTGAAAAAGAGCAAAGTGGTTCCATTGAACGGAGTGAGCGTGCTGTTCCTGTCGTTAACCATCTGAAAGCCTGACCTGGGCTATGAAAAAGAAAAAAAAGGAAGGTGAAGAGGGAGTCTTTTTTTTTAAGAAAAACTGATTTATATTTAACTAAAAAATGTACTGATTTACTGAACTGTGCATAATACTGTATTCTTTTCCTCAGCCTGAGGTTCTGGAGCAAATACAAAATCTAAAGGAATTGTGGATGGACAATAATTCTTTGCAAATACTACCTGGGGTATGGACATTTATTTTACGTAATTAAATTATTGTGTGATGTAGCAAACTATTTACCGTAAATAAATGCATGTGCCTGTTCTTGAATGGTACATATTGCTAGTTCATATAGTCATTATTTGTTATCGAGAAATAAAAGTCTCGACGCAGCCATCCATAGGAAAAGCTTTCAAATGTGGCATTATTAGGTGACAGAGTGCAGATGGGACGTGCCGGTTTTATTGCAGCGTTGTGTAGCTTTCACTGTGCGGGGAAGTGCTTGCCTCTAGTCCTCTGAGCCAGCGTGCATCAACTAGCCCTTTGATACAACCCCGCCTGTTTAAAAAGGAAGAGGAAATACAAAATAATCTAAATAAACTTCGAAGAGAGCAGCTGGTGTGTACGGATTCAGCTGCATTAAAAGCGGCGAGAGGCAGCGGAATGGAGAGACGTTCCTCTGGAAAGCACTCCACTTAGAAAGGGAACAGAAAATGTTTTACCATCCAAACGTGAGGGTCACGGTCACGTCTTAGGGCTGCTTCTGAGTTGTTGCTCCCCCGCAGCAGAACTTTGATTTTCAATTTTTATTGCCATAAATTATTAGAGACGGTCACTCTAAAATGCCTGCACTGACTGTTCCTGGAGAAGGGGATCCCCATCGCCTCACGCCGGTGGGAGCCCACGTCGGGATTCCCACGAGAACGCTCTGCGCTGCTGCGGGGAAAGGCAGATCCAGCACCAGCACCTCTGGGGGCTGGAAGAAGAAGAACTTCCACTTTCAGTTTTCAACATTTGTAAATCAAAATTCAGTTTTTTGGTGTTGAGCAAGGGCTGGTTTTTGTCTTAAATAGATTACGTTCATCTTTTCTGTTGTGTTAAGCAGGTTGTTTGCACAGAAAACGATCATGCTCAGTCACTGTCCAAATACCCACTTTGTGAGTGCTTTGTTAGTGGAAAAAAAGCTGATACTGAAAACTCTTTCTGATACTGAAACCAGCTGGAGATGGAGACCAGAAATATTGCAGTATGGTTGCTGCAGTGGAACCGAGTAGAAGAAATATCGGATATACAAGGGAGTGGGGCACAGACATTCGAACCATTATTCTATTTCTTGTCTGTTCAGAATGAAATTGGTTAATACAGCCAGTGCTAAAATGCGTTGCACACGCAGTCCTGCTGAGCTGTCGTGATCCCTGGAGAGGGTGTGTAGAGCTGCAGATGTTCAGCAGATCGTGGAACTGAATCCTGAGGCGCAGAATTATTGTTAGTGAATAATTCATGTTTCCTGAACCTGATTCTAGTAGACCCTAGATGATATTTTATGAAAGCCTTCTCCAAAACAAGAGGTTTAAAACAGTTAATATCGGCTTTAGATTGTGACTTTTAAAAATAGAAAGGAAACACCAGCTGGTAATTGATTTTAAAATTTAGAGATTTGCCAGGCTTCCAGTGTTAATAATTCAGTTTTAAAAAAAGTGGTCTGGGCTAGAAACAGAGATTGCGTTCAGCTATGAATAAGGGTGGAATGGCAAGGGCTGGGGTGAAAGGGGGATTGTCGCTTTATGCAGCAACCCAGATTTGATCAAAGACAGCGTGGAACTGCCGCCGTAGAGGCAGAGAGCAGATCTCAGCCAGGTGAGAGGCGAAAAGCAAGCTATAATCTTACTGCTTTGAAAGTAACAATAAAATAATAAGCACTATTCACAAAAGTGTACTGTTGGGGTTAACTGCTCGTAACTGAACTGTGGATATTTAAAGTCTAGTTTTAGATTTTACAAAATACAGAGAATCAACTTGACAGGGAAAAGCTTTACCTGCACGCCTAGCCGCAGGGACCCAGAGGGCTGCCGTCGGGAGTCGGGAGCTGTCAGTGGGCGTCCCTTGGGTCTGGCCCCAAATGAAGAGGTAACACAGCTGTAGGATGGAGAACTCGAGCTTTCAGCAGAGTTAGTGAATCTGGAAGACAGTAATTCGTTTGGTATGGGTCAGCTGGTTTGGTACAGCGCTTAGCTGGAGGTGGGGGCTGCTAAACCACTGCTGCTGCTTCAGCAGGGTGAATCTTGTAAAAAGGGTGCTGGGACTACTGACTACGAGCCTGCGTTACTCTTCTTTGTCTTTATTAAGCTTAGAAACTGGCATGCAGTGTGTGTCTGTTCAAGTAACGCTTTGTAACGTCCTTTTAAGTCTATAGGGAAGTTAAAACAGCTGGTGTACCTGGATGTGTCAAAAAACAGGATAGAAACTGTTGACTTGGACATATCGGGATGCGAAGGACTTGAAGATCTCCTGTTGTCGTCCAATATGTTGCAGCAACTGCCAGACTCCATAGGTGAGAAGAGCTCAGGATTTCTTGTAATCTTTTACAATCGAGGATTTAATTTACATCTTTTTTTGGTGTTGATGAGAATTTGTAATAGCTGGAACAAGAACTGCCGTTGAATTCCAGAGGAGTTTGAAACGTCTGTGTCTGGACAGTCCATGAAGACCATGGTGTAAAGTCAGGAAAAAAGTCCATGGCTGGAAGGTATTGGTTGTTCTGATTTGCTCTTTGAAAGAAAATAACCAAAGAAAGATGTAGCTGATCTGATCTAAATTTGAAAGTAAGTATACTGGTGATGATGTTAACAGCGGGAAACTCTTGAGGGAAATTGCTACCCTGAGCTACCGTAGTGCAATTCCATCTGAGAGCATTAAACAAAGAAATAGGCCAAACTGGTCATGTTCTTTTTTGACTGAATTGCATGCATAGAATTTCTGAGTCATTTAGAACGTACAGAAATTCTGGACGCTGAGTGCTTGTAGTTCTATCACTCCATACATCTGCGTACTTCATTTCAGCCTTCATCCGTTACGTTTGCTGTGGAAGCACTTGAGGTCTTTCCTCTCTTCTGTTGCTTCCAGCTGATGAGCCCGCTGTATCATCCTCATCGTCATCTTTTTCACTTTCCTAAGCGTGTCCCTTTAAACACGGGACTGTTAAACTCCCCAGTTTTGAATCAACTGAGTCAAGACTCCAGAATGGATTGCTAGCTAATAATGCTGTGCTACAGAAATGGTATTAGACGTCTTTCACGGCTGGTTTCCATTTTGGTCTTCCCCATCTCACCATAAATTCTAGAATTTTTGCTTTATGTGCTTTTCTGATATGCATATGCAGATTGACTTTTAGAGGGCGTTTAGCTCCTGTACAAAAGGAAGAACTGTTTACATTTGGAATTGTACATGCTTGCAATTAGACGTATTCAGTTCTCATTTCCAAATGCCCCTTACTGAGGCAAGAGATTTAGACTCCTTTAAAAAGAAGTTGTTTTAATACTACATTTTCAGAAGAGACCTTGCTAAAATGAATTCTGGTGGAACTTTTTCCTCTTGAAAGAAAATTTGGTGAAACCTAGATCTTTCTTGGAACATGTTGATTTTGAAGAAGTTTTCAACAAAAATGTTCTGCAATTGAAATGAGTAGTGTTTCTAGTGTCCCTGTAATTATACTTTCCGTTTGCTTCAGCTTGCATATGATGGCATGTTAAGTTTAGCCTTTTTCTCTAGATTTAATGTACATTATTTCCAACATTAATTACAAGTAATCATTTAAAAAAATGCTGTTTCAGTATATCCAGAACTTCTTCAGGGAAAAAAAAGAGATTTTGAAACATGAACAACTTCTAGAAGGTGGAAGTGTGTTCCAGATTCTGTTTCTAGCACTGTAATCCAATATTTTCCCCATTTTTTCTGTCTCTGCTTTTTTATTGTTTTCTGCTGTTGCTCACTGGTGAAGCAGAAGCTTCGTTCCCTGCTTGGTGAATGTCACCCAGTTACGCTTCTGCTTACACTTAGATATGTAAGAATTCTTTCAATGATAAGAATTAGCCGCATGTACAGATGCGTTCAGGATTGATTCTGGTTTCAGTCGGATCCTGGTTTTCTGTCTCTACCCACACGTTGTGAAGCTTTGGAAATGTAGCCTTTACTGCAGAGAATCCGTGTAGAGCCCGGTGATCACCTGAGCACCTTTTAATCAAGGCAACGGGACTTGAATTCGATTGAAACATTAGTAGAGAAGTAGAAATACTACTCTTCCTCCACAGATAGGATACTATTCTTCTTTTTTCTTTTTAACAGTTTTTTTTAAGACTCCAGAAATGCACTGAAGCTGAACAACATAGGAAATATTAACATTTAATCAACACTTCATTTAGATGAAATATATTTTCAATGGGACAAGAATGTGTCGGTGTACTGGCCTATATACAAGTGTTTTCTAAAATCTAGATCAAAGTTATTCGGTGTTAGAACTCGGTGTTTGTTTAAGGATGTGGGAGATTACAGAAAGTGAAAAAGATTGATGTGCAATATTTTTCTGTTACTTCTTCCTTGCCTGTTTTGTAGGACTGTTGAAAAGGCTTACAACTCTAAAAGTAGATGACAATCAGCTTACAATTCTGCCAAATGCAATTGGAAAGTGAGTAGAAGTCTCGTGATTTTCAACAGCAAGTAAAATGTGTTTTCCCTTCTGCTTGTGGAATGTGGGGTTTTTTAAATAAAAAATAAGACAAAGACGTACTGAATTATAGAATAATTTTGAAATGTGTGCCTAACACCCAGCTTATAACATTTAAATTTGGAGCAACACTCCTAGTGCTGTGGACTTACACTGGCGTAAGCGATGAGAAGATGAAATGTATCACGTTGTCCAAGAAAAAGAACAAAGATATTTCTCTGTGTGAATCACTTGCAATTTAAGCGATTAGAGCAGTGAAAGTAGAAGAAATAGAAGTATTTGGGGGAATACGTGCGTTTCCATAGCAACAGCCAATACTTGGTGCTGAAAGGAAGATGGCTGGAGACCTAATCTGTATGAAGATTGCTTAAGAGAATGAAGTAGAATAAACGAAAAAGTCATGGCGATTTCATAGGTGTATACACCAAAATGTGAAAGTATCGTGTGAGCAATCTGATCACGGAGAGCACTGATGATGCCCCTTAGGTGTCGTTGCGTCAGATCTTCCATGATCACCGCTGCGAAATTCTGGCTCGTTCTGCTGTGTGTCGGGAGTTTGTTGCTGGATGAAAGCTGCAATTCCTTGTAAAATTCAAGGCGGATGCAAGCCTGTCTCCACGTGTGGAAGCAGGCGATTCTTGGTATTATTTCACACTACACATAGTCTTTTTAGCAGAAAAAGTCTTTGACATTGATATTTTTGTAGGATGCCTCTTCCTCTACGTATTTTATTTCTGGAATGCTAGATAAACTGATACTTGGAAAAAATTCCAGAACACGTGGTCCCTAGCCACCTTCTGAGCTGTAGCACGAGCGTGTTCACCATCCCCCTTGCCCCAGGGGTGGTGTTCGTGAAGAAGAGACCCAGGGCAGCCCGCCGTGCGAAGCCCCTTCGCTCTCCAGCGGGTTGTAGCTCAACAAACTGTTTCATTGGAGTTTTCATAAGCCAGCGCTGTTCTGAGGCTTCCAAAATTAAAGCCTAGAAGGCTTCGTTTAGGCTTGTCCAGCAATACGATGGTGCAGTGATGATAGAGAGGGCCCTAGAGCAGAAATAGTCGCAGAGCTGCACAGCCAGGCTCCGGTTTGGCTTACCGTGCTCTGCTTCTTGCAGTGTCTTTGGATTTATCAGATATTCGTGGGGCGTATTAGAAGTTGGTTATAGGAATCACAAAAGGGCGAATCTTCGCTGCACAAACCGCTGTGTGGCAATAAATTCCGAGAGGCAGTGGAAGCTCGGAAGGCTCTGGGCACTCTGCAAAAAGGTTGCTACAACGTCCAACATAGTATTTCACCATTTTGGGGGTCAGTTTTTAAAACCTTTGAAGACCTTCCTTATGTATTGATTTGCTCAGATTGAAGGGCAGTCCCGCTTTTTTTCAGCCTGATGTCTGCTCAGGGTTGTTTGTGGCGGAGCCGTGGTTACCTCTGTGAAGACGCGTACCGCTGCTCTGAACGGTGCGCACGCGGCGCGCTGGGCTGATCACCGGATAGTGTCACCTTATTTTCCAGTGATTGGTTGTGCTTTTCAGATGAAGTTCTTTCATTTAATGAGGACGGTGTCTCCCACATCGAAATGAACTTCCTTCCTCTGACTCATCCATTTGGATAGGTTCCTACTGGGTCCCTTTCTCCTCAGTGACAGTCGTGGTACCCACTGCGGCGTGCGTTGCCGTCACACGGAGATGAGCAGCGTGGAGGAGGGAGCTCTCCCTCCAGGGACCAGTTCCGTGGTGAGACACAGAGCGCTTCCACACGGTCTGAGTCCACGTCCCCAGCAGTGAGCCCCCACCCTCATTTTTGGCAGTCGTGTTCAAAGGACAAGCCCGTAAGCGGCATTTGGAGTTTGACCCTACAAGATGCTACACGCAGTAGACCCAGCTGAATACAACATGCCTCATAAAATCAGTGGATTGAGATTAATGAAATACTTTACCAAATCAGACCAAAAGACTGGAGATTTGGTCCGTGGGTCCGGAGTGAACGCCCGTGCTCCCACGGTGCGGGTAGGAAGCCGTGACCCGTACGTAGGTGCTGGTGCGACGTGAGCCAGCGTGTTGCGGTAGACGAGGGGTTTGTGCATGTGCCTCGTCTGTGCCGTAGCTGGCAGTACCAGGTGCTGCAAATAAAAGTGTGAACTATGCCTGGGCCTGCAGAATTCCTTTTGCCTGATGTTGGACAGGTAGAGCGTCTGGCTAACGCTTAGGATTTGGGCTGCTTCGGCAGTTTTCTGGGTGCTGTGGCTGTCGGGAGAAAAGGGCTGTGACTGTGTGAAGTGGAGCTGAGGTGGGCTTTTATTCATGGCAGTCGTCATTCTCCTTGAATCTTTCTCTACTAAGCTGTCCAAAAATATTCCTCATCTGCCTTAGGACATGCGCTGTGAACTGCCCCATTTAAGTGGGGGCCAAGCTGAACAGCAGGTGCAGATCTGGTTTTCGGCTGCCTTTTTTTAAACCTATCGAGAACGATCTGAATTTAGCCCAGGAAGACAGTAAGGTTAATGATATTTTAGATGAATTAGCATCGTTGGAATTATAGCTGTTATTGGCAGCTTCCTTTCATGCTCAATCCATGGTGAATGAAAAATCACTTTCTGAACTGTGTATTTTTTTTCACCGTGGTAGTTATAGAGATAAAATATAGCTTGACACTGACTTTGTTGTTTGTATTGTGGCCATCTTCATCCGCCTGCTGCTGATGTCACCGGGAAGGAAAGAAGCGGAGAATATCCGTGCCAGACAATACCTTTCAAATAAAATCCTATAGTCTGATAAAGCCGTTCTTCCCTGTCAGGGAAGCTTCCGCAGTTGCAGTTCAGAGCAGCAGATTTTCTGATTGCCCTTGGGACCGTAACGGTTCTCAATTAGCTTATCTGAATTCAGGCTTTCGTGGTTGCGTTATCGTCAGTGAGAGGCGGGAGGTGCGCGTCTTGCGATTGAAGAAGCTTTCCAGTCGGACTTCGCCCCGTCAGGCACGTGCTCTGCGTGATGCCGGTGAACGCGACTGGATTTGGGCTGAAATCGTTTTGTATCCAGTTTGAAATAGTTGTGGTGGGTGCAAAGCTTGCGTTGAAGAAAAGCTCGAACCAAACCAGGCGGAGCTTTTGCATGTGTCCCACGCTTCTCTCTCGCTCATCGCTGTATGACTCACTTTGGCGGCTCAGGCTGCTGGAATACAGCAATTAGAGGAAAGCTCTGAGAATTCCATGTTAGGAGCAGCTATTTCTGGTTTCGTGTTTCATAAGATTTGAAGGCTGAGAAACCTTTTTTTAATTAAGAAACTGGAATAAAGGTAAGTTAGGCATACGGTGAAGGTCCAGTCCTGCAGCTGTGACTCAGATAAATACTAAGGAGCCAGGTTGGTAGCGGAGGTAAACCTTTTATCAGGTCTGCCAAAACCTCCTGGGCGCCTAGTCCCTTCGTCAGTGGACAGGGCCATGGCAGATGCTGAGGTGGAGATAATTGCTTGCCATTTAACCTTACTGTGAGGGAAAGCACTTGAGAGAAAAAGCTCGTACACGCGGAGCACAAAAGGGGCAGCAGAAGCGGGGAACGATGGCGGTTGTAATGGGTCACAAAACTTTGATCCCGTGAGCTGAGTGAGCGGTGCAGTGCAGCATTCATGCCAAGAATTGTGTATCCAGCCTAATTTTTTAAGAGCTTCAGTAGATATTTCTTCAAAATATTTATATATATGCATGTGTACGTGCACAGTATACATCTAAGATGTCTATATTTTGATATCTCTCTCTATATATAACATGCATTACATATATCTTCCTATTTGTAAGTGTTATTTGCATGAGCAACGGTCAAATTGTTGATGCTTAATCACCAAAGCAAGACGGATGTTTTGGTGTTGCCTGACCCCATGTGCTGCCTTCAGGGCAAAGCACACGCTCAGAACCCGAGTGCCGAGGGTCGCGTGGCGGCTGGGGCCGGGTCCCGGGGAGCAGAAGAACGCCTGCGAGGGCCGGGTCGTGCCGGAGCGGCGGTGGGTGGCTGGGAGGTTCAGTGCTGACTCAGCGCTCCGTGGCGTGGGGTCAGCTCTCCTGTGCGCCTTTGGCCCTCACGGTGCCTTGGTGCCTCCTCCTGTCAGAGGAGCTGGTGGCCTTTAGCTACTGCGTGGACCCCCGGCACAAAACCTTCAGCTCGTTTGCCAGGCTCTCTGAGGATGAGGAGGTGCAGGACGGTTCCGTGCGCGAGGAAGCCGTGCCTTGTCTGTCCGTGTGCTCGCCGGCACTGTGGGCTCTGGCTGACCCGGCCCGTGGCTCGGCAGGGG